GCTGTTGATGACTTGTGGGAGGAGCTGTTGATGACTTGTGGGAGGGGCTGTTGATGACTTGTGGGAGGGGCTGTTGATGACTTGTGGGAGGGGCTGTTGATGACTTGTGGGAGGAGCTGTTGATGACGCCACACGTGCGAGCCACTGGCGGTGGATAAACAGGAAACAGCTGATAGCAGGAATTAGCGAGCAGCTAGTAGGGAAACACAAACCTGACAGACACTGTAAAGATGAGCAACTGGGGAGACAAGGAATTGCGCGCCCTCCTTGTCCTCGCAAACGAAGAGGCCATTTACCGAGATTTTACCACCATGATGATGATAGTTGACAGAAATGTGATCAATCAGGGGTTTGGACCCTACTAATATCTGCAGCCCTGTGTCATTACAGCCACATTGGAGACTCTCTCTGAGGTGACACTTTCTGTGAAACTGCACGTTCTTCACTGTGTTTCTCACTGACAGGTGTAGTTAGAGGAGGAGGGGCACAGGTATCGATGTGCAAAGGACGTTTCTACATTTATTTAACTGTGGTGTGGAAATGAAGCTCGTGCAGGTGCATCCAGCGCCACAGTCAATTATAAAAACAGAATCAGGCGCGGCTTTATAACTCTGATGTGATGTGATGAACATACATATTTCTGTCTGTGTGCGTACACAAAGATTTTGTCATGAATCTACACAATGTTTACGCCTCTGGCCATCAGGCTGTCACATCAGCTCTCCTATAGAACTGTAAAGATGAGGGAAACGAAGTCAAACTAACAGTAGCAGTAAACAAACTGACACTGGGGGGAAACACTTTGAAAACAGCCTAATTTTTTTGGCTCGACGAAACTGATTTTTTTAGTTAATGAAGTGATAAATAATCCAGTCGCCGACTTTGATCAGAGCGTAGAGAATCGTGTTATTCCTCCACTGACAGCGTGAAAACTGAGATATCTTGTAATTTAGTATAGTGGTGCAACTTTATATTCAAGGTCAAATTTACATTCTGATGCATCCAGCGGAGAAGCTTTACTGCGCTCACACACTCTCTGTGAATTAACTCTCAGTGCTCAGAGGAACCTTTAGGGGTTCTCCGCAGTCTAACCTCCGAGGAGCCCAGACAAAAAAAAAAAGAAGTTCTCAAACACGAGCCGCTGAAAAGCCTGAAGATGTGTTTGAGTCCCAGCCGACAGTGCAGCAGCTGATTCCAGTGATTAGTTCCCTCCTTCTAATTGCAGGGTTGCTAATCAGTGAACTTCACTGCTGTCGTGTTTGGCGAGGATGAAAACACGCAGGATGAATGGAACATACTTAAGAACCAATTCACCCTCTTATATGGGAGGTTCTTACACACTCCTGTGAATGAGATGCTTCGACAGAGAGAAACACTGAAGCTGCCAAATCTGGATCCTTGATGCTCAGCTGAGACGGCTCATTATCTGCTCTCATCTTATACATTTCATTATTTTTCTTTGAGCTTTCAGTGCTGATTACATTTTTATCTTATTTGTGCTTCCAAGCAGTGACCTGTTGATCAAACAGTGTGGGCTGACTTTTTATCAGTGTTACTCAACATTAAAAGAGTCACAATTCATTTTTGATTTAAAGATTTTTTTTTTCAGCAATGAGAGTTCTGATACATAATCCTCAGTAATGTGGATTTAATGACTAAATGTGTTAAGGCACATATTCAGACAGGTAGAACTGTCTGTTTAAGTTTAGAAAATCACATCATTTTACTGTAACAGTGTTTCATTTAAACCCAGGAAGTGTTGATCCGTACAGATCAACCTATCTTTGGTTTTATGCTCCGACAGCTGTCACAGGGCTTCTACAGTTCAAGTTGAATTTAAGAATTTTTCAATGCAATTCAGGATTAAATTTAAGATCAATTTAACAACAACAAAAATAAAGAGCAAAAGAAAAACATGAACCAACATAAACATGAGTTATGGAGGTTCAGGGACAATTCTGGACAAATGAACAGAAGTGTAAAATACGTGGTGTTTGTTCGTGATTTTTCGTCACTTACACACTTCCCCTTCAAGGCGGGAATTTCACGCTGTTAAACCGCCTCGCCGTTCTGCATAAAAAGTACGATTGCGGAATGGGGAGGACAGATTTGTCTTGACTCAGAGTCAGGACGGAGGCAGTAACAGCGCCATAATGATGTCTGTATAGACAAGAAGGGACGAGTGTTGCGTTTTGACAATGCACTACCCACCACAGTGGTTTTAAAAGGGAGTTATCAGCAGTTAGCAGCTAACTCAAAGAAGAACAGCAGCTGTTAGCAGTTAGCAGCTAACTCAAACAATGAGGTCCAGGAACTCCTTACCCTCTGAGCAGAGTACGAGATCAGCCGCCATATAACAGGGACACTAAATGATTGTTACTGACATGTGATGTCATTGTTATTGTTTATAAAGAGCTGCTGACACGTATGTTATATGTCACACTAGAGGCTGACGCTGCTGGGTTACATGTCACACCTCTTCTGATTCTGTTATGTCATCATGCTGTCTGACATCACACTCTGAAGCCACATGATGCCGCCATCATTTGTTTCTGGGTAAAAAATGCAATGTAAGCATAAAGGTGGGACTTTGTAGTGGCTCTCTAGCGCCATCTCTGTCTGTAAAGGGCTTTCCACTGCCCTCATCAGATCAGATTTTGGTAAAATAGCAAATTTTGGTTGAACTTTCACCTCCTCCTGTCGTCCAGGGTTCAGTGACAACTGAGGCGACAATGGATTCTCCGCTCTGAATATCACAGCCTGAAATAATTCATAAGTGTTTTTTGTTTGCTGTGCGGATCTGCATGATGTTAATGCAACAGGCACTTGGTAAATTATTTCTAAAAAACATGTTATGAATAATTTTGAGATTTTACGATGCAACATCAGAAAAGAAATCATTCATAAAATCCTACTTTTCCATGTCTCAGCATTTTTAACTTTAAAAAGATTGATTAAAGACATTTAATACAAATGAAGGCCTTATTTTCATGAATGAATTCAGTGCCCTCTGAGACTTTTTAAGGATCTGTGAGAACCCTGTGTCATTTATGTGTTAAATTCTTCTTTAGAGAGACAGGCGACATGAGAACACATCTGATTTTGGAACGTACCACACTAATTTCATATGGCCAAGTTTTTTTTAAATGTAAAGACTTATTTCACCAGTTTATTGGGAACAAAATCGCAGTGGCCAATCCTCCGTTTGATTTCAATGATTTAAATCAAAAGCTCATTTCGATCAGTCTCAATTCAGAATCAAAATCATGACTCTCCTACTTCCTGCCACGGTTTGATTCCAGACGTTTATTTACTTTACCTCTGTGGGAAACAGATAATAAATCATAACCTCTGAGTCAGACTTTTTCTGGAAAACCTCACCTGTTAAAAGGTGTTAAACTTTATGAACTGCTTCTAGATTGCCTTTTTTATTATTATACCAGACTAATAAGCAGAGCTGTATTTCTATGAAGGAGCCAGAGAGTTCATTACACCCCAACACGCCTCAGCAGCAGCAGCAGCCGACCAACATTAAACTGATCTCAGCAGCCGCCCAGACCCTTGTTAGTATCAGAGGCTTTTTCCCTGAGGCGAAACTCTCACACACAGAGTCCACATCAAAGTGAAGCACGAGCACGTCTCTGGTATGCTTCTCTGAGAGTGGCGCTCTGGGCTACACTTCACTTTCAGCATGTCGGTGTGGGCGGTTTAAGCCTCTGTATACATGTACAGACGAGGGTCTTGCTGTGCTTGTATGTGTAAACCACTACAGTCAACAAAGAGGCTAATCCTCCAGGCAAAACAGCTCCTCTCAGATTCATGTGGGGGTGTACGCAGTATGTCTGCTCTGTGTGTGTGTGTGTGTGTGTGTGTGTGTGTGTGTGTGTGTGTACATGAAATAAATGTAAGCAACAGCAATCCTTGGTTGACTGTTCAAAGTGCACCGAGTTACGTTATTGGTCTTAGTGTCTGCGGAGAGACAGCCAGCAGGGACAGACTCAGATGAGGCTGGATCCTTAACCTCACACTCACATGTCAAGACTCAGGAAATGGACTTTTTCATCTTCTGCTGGGTCTCAAACAGACGTCGTTCAGCTGCTAAGTGGCTGCGGTTGGTTTTACACCAATCAAACTGAGAGGGAGATTTCTTTCACAGTACTTAGGGAGTGTTCGTTATTTATGACGGGGGAGGAGGAGGTATGTCAAATTCAAATGTTGGTCTACCTCAGGTTTGCTGAGGCTGGACGACACCAGGCACCCTGAGCCGACATCCAGGTCCCACTGCTTCCTGCCCTGGTTGTGAGGATCCAGTGCAGAGATCCGCCCATCCAGGGTGCTGATGATCACAAGAGACCTGCGGACACGACAGAGAAGAGTTCACTTATTGCAGCTTTACATAGATACACTCATTACAGCCCTGCACACCGATGTTGACGAGGCCACGGTGCGTCTTTGCACGCTGTTTTTAAAATGACACCGGTGATGTGTTATCTTCCCAGTGGGGCGTTGCGTTTAATGCCATCACGGATGAGACAAAAGCGTGAAGAGCTGCAAGGTGGTGGTGCAGATGTTGCTGTTCCCTCTGTACTCCTCACCCTTGCCTGGCAATCAGGGTGACCTTCAACTGCAGCCAACAGCACACCTGTGCCGTGACAAACCCCATCCTGTCAGCGAGTAGGGGCGTTGATTAAAGGTGGGAGCAGACCTGAGGATTATCAGACCTGACCACACATCCCACACATGAAAAATATGAACGTGTGAGACCATGAATTCTCAGTGGTTACTGAACCAAAACAGAAATCTATCAAAAATGCACCCTGTTCATTTGTGTCGCAATTTCAAAGGTAAACCACATGAAAACATCGAGTGCACCTGAAACGCTGGACGGAGAGAGACGGGCTGTAAACTCTGCTGACGGAGCGGGAGGGGAGTCAACTCTGTAATAAACGGATTAATAAACTCAATCACAGCACATCGCTCTCTTTTACTTTTGCTGACAACTTTTAACATTTAATGTCTCTTCTGTCAAGAGTCTGCAGCCCCGTTTACACCGCCTCCGTCTCCGCTGAGCCCTCTGTGTCCGTCCTCACGGTGTGCTGGACAGACAGCATGCTGTCTAAAATCGCAACTTGATGCCGCCGATGTTTGGCTCTATGTAAAGAAGGGAGCTGGTAGTGACTCTATAGCGCCATCTCTGTGTGAGAAGGGCTTCACACTGATGTAGAGAGGAAGCACACTTAAATCTCCTTAGAGTAAATTGAAGATGACTCTTTCAGTCACAATGAAGAAACAGAGCTGGAGGGCAGACGAGGTTGATTTCATTTATATGAAATGATTTTCTGTCCTCACTTTATAACGGTGGACTCCATCGTTACCTCCTTTTATTTCAGGAGAGTAATCAGAGTTTGTTGCTCCTCAGGTTTGGGAAGAGACACGCTGATGATGCTCTGAAACAGATGGTAACAGCGACTGTTGAGAGCACGCGGGGGGTTTGACACGGATACTTTTCTCAGGCTTAAAACTGTTATTACTGCCATAAAATTAGGCTCATTTACATGGAAAACCTCAAATCAATGTTTTATGTGTCGACAAAGACCGTCTTTTATTCAGAGGAGCTGGATTGGTTTGGTGGCGTTTCTGATTTGTCTTGGCGTTCTTCTGGGCTCTTCAATATTGGCAGAAAATTAGTGTTCACAAATATTGGCTCGACTGCCCACGATGACAGCTCAGAGAAATACTGTGTCAGCACTGCTGAGGAAACAACTAAAGCATGTTTCATTTCACTCTCTCAGATCTCTGTCACAACACAGATGAAACCCTCGTGGATACAGTTAAAATGTTCAGCCATCACTGGCGAGGGGTGGGGTAGTGGGGGGAAAGTGGGACTGATTTCACAGGGCCGTAATGGAAGGGGGGCCCTCAGACAGCCCTCTCTTATTTTAATTTCTAAATTAATTACTAAATGAAAACTGGCTGAATAAATCGGTTGAAAGACTGAAGTTTGTGAAAAAAAAATCATCACTTAGGGACTGTTTGTTATTTATAAGGGAGGAGGAGGTGCAAAAGAAGGCAAGTCATACTTTTTAAGCATGAGGGAGGGGCTGATTTTTATTTATTTTTTGGCTTATCGGAGGAGCAAACAAATTTAATTGACTGTATTTCATGGCCCATTTTTAAAGGAATAATGCGTTCCAATTTTATTTTGCAATTTTAAAAATTTTGGTGCAAATTTCAGGCAGTTTTTAAAGAAAAAATGCCTTCAAATTTTTTGTCGGTTTGCCTTCCAAAATTTAGCTATTTGCCTACCAATTTAACATTTTGGTGCTAATTTCAGGCAGTTTTTAAAGAAAAAAAAAAAGCCTTTTAAATTTTGTTGATTTGCGTCCCAAATTGGCTGTCTTACTAATTTTGGCATTAAATTTTAGCAATCTTTAAAGAAAACATGCCTTCTGAATTTTAACATTTACTTCCCAAATTTTGGTGCAAAATTTTAGCAATTTTTAGAGAAAAAATGCCTTCCAATTTTTGTTTTTTTTGCCTACCTTTTTGTTTGTTTGTTGTTGTTGTTTTGAAATTTTACAAATTTTGGTGCACATTTTTGGCAGTTTTTAAAGAAAAAACGCATTTCAAATTTTGTTGATTTGCCTTCCAAATTTTAGCTAATTTTCTAATTTTCGCACTAAAATGCAATTTTTAAGGAAAACAAGCCATGTTTCCCTTAAAAGTCACTAAAATGACACCATTTATCACAGCCAGAAACTGTATAAACAGTCACTGGATTTCCATATTTCCATCGGCCCTTGGACACATTATGTGCAACTCATCCATCAGAAAAAAAAAAAGAAAAGAAATATGAGCGTAAAATAGTGATATTTCATCAAAAACAAACCGTTTGCACAAATTAACCAGCATGAAAGATGCTTTTATGAACTCCAGGATATCGTCTTCAACTTTTAACTTAAAGTTTTAAAAATCAAATAACTGATTTATGGTGGAGGGAGGGTCATGGATTTTCCACCAGTCACTCAGGGAGGCAAAATTTAAAAAAGTCACACCCCAGCCACACCCTCCTCTAATAAATAAAGAACAGTCCCTTACAAGGTGCTAAATTGTTGGTCCCCCAGCAATACCAACGTACACTGTCATGTCTTTCCCTAGCAAAGAGAAATCAGGGTTCCAAAACAACTGACTCTGTAAAATAATTTCAGAAGGTGTATGAGAGAGACACGGATCAGGAGAGGAGAGGCAGGGGCCCCACACAGACTGGGGGCCCAGGATCTGTTGCTACGCCCCTGATCACTGGCAAAAATCACACTGATTCCTAAAAAATATTTCCACACTGTAAAAGTGTTTTTTTCCAATTAAAGTGTGTTTCCACATATTTCATTGAGAGGCATCGCTGGCAGAGACACAGTGTGAAGCTAAAAATAAGACGCGGGGGGAAAATCAGATGCAGGGGGTGAAGGCAGTTTTCCTTAGATGATGAATGAGCTTCACGTTGCTCACTGCACCCCTGAGCTTTACCTCTGAGGAAAGACTTCTTTAATTATTTTGGTGATGGATTTTTACATCACTTCTGTGTCTCTACCAAAACATTTACTCGGTGAAGAGTTTTTCTTGGTGGAGTACGAATTCTCCGACTGAGTTTAATCCCTCTTAATGTGCCCACACAGCAAGATTTGTAAACAGTTCTCCTCTGGTTGGTGTAGTAACTCGGGGCTAAAAACAGTCTAACTGAGTTGAATGGATCGAGACATCCAGCCCCACCCTTTGCCCAACTCTGAACCGTTCTGCTGCATTGCTTGTCAATCACGTCCTGAGCTCTGGCAGGGGCCACCTCCAGACTATTGATTTGTATCTGTCTCCAGGAGATGCTGTCAGCGGGGCTTTTAGCTTTATTTAACACACACATGCTGTCTCTGAGCACCCACTGCTTCACATCCACACAGCTGGGACCCAACCAGCTTCCCTCTGTTGGCTGCCGGGGCATATGGGGCTTTAACTGCCTCCCTCGAGGGCAACTAGACAGCAGCAGCAGCAGCTGAGGAGAGAGACACTGTTACACTTGTTCACTTTAAGAAATTAGGAGATAAAGTGAACGTGGACGTCATCCATCATCTTAATTCACGAGCACTTTGAGAGTTGTCAGTTTAGCTGAGTGAATTTATCACCTGTGTTATCCATTACTGAGACTGAGCAGGTGAGTCGCTCCTGATGAGCTATAATCCCTTATTGATCTCACCTATCGAACACTCTTCAGTCATGAAGGGGAGGGAGCGTGTTCGAGGATGTTTAAGCCTCAGGACAAGCAGGAAATGGATTGTTTCAAAGGGTGCAAATCAATTTTCGGAAGCTTTCTCTTTGTAGACACCGACTTATTCGCAGGGAGTCACACTCACTGCTCCGGACCAGCTAGTTGCTTCAGCTCGACTGGATCTGGAAGTCTGCATAAAAATGCAAATAGGCTCACTTAACAGTAATGAGCCATGTGTGTTTCAGCCCCATCAAAGCCAAGATTATCTCCCCAAATCTGCTCTCAGCATTATCAGCCTCGCCACTCGCACTCAAGTGTGGAGTACTAAGGAAAACATTGTTTTTCCTCTCAGCCACCAATAAAAACACAGCGCTAAAGCCCGCTCTCACCCTCTCCATTGGCTGCCACAACCTGCCAAAAATATTAGGCTGATTGGTTGTTGCTAAGCAGTCGGCTCTCTGAGAGGGTGGAAGCTTTGGCGGCCTTCGCTCGGCCGGCCCCACCCCCTCAGAGTCATGCTGTGAATGTAGAAGTGAGGAAGAAGTCACTGAGAGCATCGAGTTCAACTTGAGAGATGGAGCGAGGCTGAGCAGAGATAGAGGAATTTCATTCTGAGGGGGATCAAAGGCTGGTGTGGACTCTTTGTACTCCACATAAAGAATGAGACGGAGTACAGAGGGGGGTCGGAGTGGGGGGGGCAATTAACTCTACAACTTAGGTGTGTGGTGATGATGGTGATGGAGAAAACAAGCAGTGGAGGAGGGGCAGCTATAAAAATAGTACTGAAGCCAACAATAAAAACAGCTCAAACAAAACAAACAGCCCGACTATCATTTACAACTCCAGGCAATTTATTTTCCACGTCTGAGCCCCGAGACAATGCCGGTCTGCTCGTCACCAAAGGGATAACATGTAGCCTGTGGGGCTGCCGCTGCCGACTGTGACAGATGCAGGCGGCGGAGACACTGAAGAAGACGTTGGAAGGAGAATGAAGAGGGAGAAAGAGGGAAAGTGGCGAGGCTGCCAGCAGACTGAGGGTTGTTAGCGTCCTCGCCTGTAACGCTGTCAAAGTGTCATAATAGTGCAGAGAGCTTCTTCAA